CAGGAATCCTAGTACTTGCAGGTCAGAGTATAATCTTGGGCAAATTACTTAGTTTCTTTAAATCTGTTCCCTCATCTGTTGTATGGAAGGGAGACTGATTAACTACTTCATAATGTCTTTATAAGGACTTCACAAAATAATGCTAAGTTCCATTAGACATACCCTTTCAGAATTTCAACTTAAAGTGTAAACATTTCTGTTGTCATTTCAAATTTCTCTGTATTGTAAACATGGACACCTTCAGTGTATTTTAGACATCTAAGAGCATCATGTGTCTTTATTTTTTCTCAGGAAATTTCACAAAAAAATGAAAAAATGAGTGTTATGTTTTCATTGGTGTTTTAAGAGCAACAGTGAGCTGTTACCAGACCCACAGCAATTTGCATATTTTTTCCCCTTTCATTTGTCAGCCACCATTGACCTTAGGATTTTTCAGCAAATGGCTTTTCTCAGTCTGCCTTCACTGTGGACAAATCTCCCCAGCATCCTGCTGTGAGGCTGGAGGATGCTGGCATGAGCTGAACAGCAGCAACCTGGCTACTTGGAATATATCCCCATAGTATTTGTTTTCTTCATATTAGATATAAAAAGTCAATTAGTGCCTTTAGATTTCTACCAGAGAATAAAGGATCGTATTTTTTTAAAGGAATATTCATTTCAAAGGATTAAAAAAAAAGTTCATTTCGATGGAATTACCATATTTCCACTATGTAAAAATATGCAAAGATTTGTCAAATGGAAAACACTAAAACAGGCAACTTTCATTATGTTCCACTGCTGTTTCAATTGAGAAGCAGATCGATACAGCTAAACCAAAACAGGTAGCCCTATAATCTCTGGTAATGAGATTCGCTCTTCTATGAGAATTTAAAGGCCAATCTGACCACATTTGAAAGGCATTATCAGAGCATCTGAAAGATAGGAAGCTAAGTCCCTGAAACACAACCACAAAAAATGTCAATGTAGTACCCCGGAATTCTAAGAAGGATAAACAAGAGATTAGAAAGAAGAAAGGCAGGGAGTCCCGGGTGGCTGACGTCTATCTGGTGGGAGGAGAGAGACAATACCCAGAAAGGTGACAAGAGGAAGCCAAGGAGACTTCTTCCTTTGGAAGTTACTTCAAGGAACCCTCCAATGCAATGTCCTGAGATCCTCTGTATTATCTTATTCCAGTGCAGAGTTGAACATCAGACCTAATATCCTTTTCTTTATTCTCATCCTTTTAGTTCTTACTCCTTTTTTTAAAGACAGAGTGAGGAGCAGAACAGGCAGACTGACAAATACACTGCTGAGGGGAGCAGCAAGTGAGACAGGAGAGGAGAGGTCTGCTGCTCCATGTGGGCTAGCTCCCTGGCCGGGCATGGAACCCAGGCTGCAGTAGCTGGTGATAGCTTCGTAGTGCTGAGACTTTAATCCCTATGCCACCAGTGAGTTCTTTATTCCTTTTTTTGACCCTCCTTTGAACACTGAGCTTTTTTAATTATTTTTTTTAATTGAGGTGGCATTGGCTTACAACATTTCATATGACTAAGGGGACGAGCGTCACCCCTCCTCAGATGTGTCTTACCACACCACACCTTCCACCGAGGTTCCCAAAGCCAGTCACCATAGTGCATTGGGAAAACAGTGTTTTCTCAGCCTATTAAACATCGATCTGCCATATGATCCAGCAATTTCACTCCTAAGTATCTACCCAAAGATGCAGAAACATCCATTGGAAGGGCTATTTGCACTCCTGCATTCATGCAGCACTCTTGACAGCAGCCAAGTTATAGAAAACCATCTAAGTGCCAGAAAACAGATATGTGGATTAGGAAGACGTGGTATTTACACAGTGGAATACTATTTTACTATGTAGATTAGAAAAGATGAAATCTTGCATTTCGACCACATGGATGGAACAGGATGGGAGTGTGCTCAGGTCATAAGTCAAAAGGAGAAAGACAAAAACCAAATAATCATGTTGCAATGATGAACACTTATAACATGCAACACTTATTTTTCTTTCTTTACTGAGGGACCGTAGTTTTACAACACCATGTACGATTTAGGGGAATAAGCTCGCACCCACTGAACACTCATGCCTGGTTTTTAATAACCATCAACTACTCTATTGTTTGACTCCTCTAACTGCTTTCTCTCTGCTTCTGTGTTTGTTGTTGCTTCAGTGGGAGGGACCTGCTCACCAACTCTTAGCTTGGAATAATCCAAAAGCATTAGCTTGGTCATGAAACAGTCCTCTTCTCCTTTATTACCACTTACCAAACACACACAACTTTCAATCTCATTTAATAAGCCAAGAGTGTGTCCCCTACCCTACTAATAGTTCCCTTGTGACACATGGTCTCACACTGATCTCTTTCTTCACGGTGTGAGACTCTCAGTCTCTGCACATAACACGTGTGTGCTCATTCAGTCTGTCAGTGCCTAACAATAGAAAACATAAGCAGTAACTTGAGCTTCTATTTTTAAGGCATGTTCAAAGGGTGCTATTGTCACAAATAACTTTTGTCACTGAGGCTCTCTGAACCCAACTTTCCTCTTCTTTAAAATGTGAAGAATGATACCCACCTCTCTGAGAGGCTGTATGATTGTGAGACGATTGGGTTAAACATGTAGCATATAATGGATGGTGAATAAATTATTTCTATGTTTTTAACTTCTCTCACATCACCGATTCTCATAAGACAATGTTGAGCTCACTTGCTGCCTTTTTTTTTTTTTTAAGATTTATTTTACTTACGCATCCAAGAATTGGAGAGGTGTTGGGGGTGGGGTAAGAGGATTCACCAGAGACAGAGTGGGGAGCGGAACAGGCACAATGACTGAAATACACTGCTGAGGGGAGCAGTGGGGAGACAGGAGAGGTCTGCTGCGCCATGTGGGTCAACTTCCTTGCTGGGGATCGAACTCGTGCTGCAGTGGCTGCGAATAGCTTCATAATGCTGCATCTTAACCCCTTGTACCACCAGGGAGGCCCTGCTTTTTGTTTTGATTGATTGATGTTAAGATTATGACAGCTGGAATGTATTGGGCTAATCAACCTATTGTCTCTACCACATCCACTCCACATGGTAAATTATGAAAGTATTTATCTCAAGAAATCACTTAAATTGCTCATCAATATTTTATTTTTAAGAAAATGCGAAGGCCAACAATAATATAATGTACAATACTTCTCCGGGGTCTTTTAAACATTAATAAAATTATTCATGGTGTTATTTGTATGGATCAATAATTGTGAAAAGTGTAGCTCTCTATTTTCAATTTGATGAAGTCACTTATTATGAGTTATTTTATTTAACCTTCACTTTTATTTAGTGATTAACAGAACTGGAGATGGTGACAGCTGCTCATGGAGAGTATATATCAACACAGAAACTAGAACCACAAGTCTAGGAATGAATTAAGATAAAACCTGACATCTTGATATAAAATCCTCAATATTGGGCAGTCGTGTTTTTCTAGTAGTACAAGACAGGGCTTGAAAATTCATGCACCAATGATAGCAACCTTATTTAAAGAAAACTATTCCTCAACCCCAAAGCATCCAGGCTCTGAGTAGCTGATGTAGGTTATTATTTATATAGCACTTACTGGTAAAGAGGAAGGAGTGAAACCTTAGACAGACACTTAGACTTCACAAGGCGGGTTTTATTTCCGATGCTAAGTGCTGAGATGAAGTCAAGTGAGTGACTCAGAGCATTGTGATGGTCCAGCTGTCAGGCACGTTGGCTCCAGGCGTAGTCACCCATCACAGTGCCGGAGGGAAAACAGCGGGAGGGTAACATCAGGTAATTCCTTAACTGACACTACGTCACCACCAATGAATCAGAGGGACATTTAGTGACTTTCTCTTCAATATCTTGAAGTTAATTTTTGCTTATTCTATTGCACATATGAAATGCCCAAGGGATCCAAGGAATGGCCACTGCGTTCAGTCTGAAAAGTACCCAAACCATTTTCATAAAGATCTTGTTAATTTCATTCTAATATATTGACCTAGTTAATCTTTCTGGAAGCCACTCAGTTATTGGGGAAAGGAGAAGCCTGATTTTTTTTTTAAACATTTAACTTAGAGCAATGTTTCTTTTGGCTTAGGAATGTTTCATGTAAGAAAGAGCAGTCAGACAAGATACACAGCATAAAAGCATACACCAAGGCAGAGAAGCTCTCAGCACTTCCTATTACACCCAATCATTGACATGCTTTTTAGTCCAACAAGAGTCTTTTCTCCTATATCCTTGTTATTACTTATTTTGGAGCTTTTGGATATGCCACCTCCTCCAGGGAGCCCTTTCTAACTTTCCCTACCCTGAGTAGGTTTGTGCTGCATGATACCCTGTCCTCACCTGTCTCTATCTGATTTCTTAGCTCCTCTAAACTCTGAGACCTTTGAGATAGGAACATACTTTCTTTTTTGTCTTCCTTGCATCCAGCAACGTTTTTGACACAGAATTGCTTAATAGGTGATCACTGGCTGCATGAGCCATCTAAAGTTCTTATTTTATGGCTTTCCAGTCTATCCGTTTAGTCAAATATTTTTCTGATAGCAATGAAACATAATTCACTAATTTGATAGGTGGTCATTAAAATAACCAAGTCTTGGATTAGCTTATGATTTAGCACAGGGTCTACAAATAGTCCAATTTTAAAGTCTTGAATAGATGGTTAATTTTACTTTATGTTATGAATATCATTGCCTTTTACAACAGGCGTACAGTACACCAAGTCTTAACAAAAAAATGATTATTTAGATGGCAAAAAAGGCAATAATCTGTATATAGATTTCAAATCGTAGATTTTGAAATTCAGAACACAGGGGTGGCGTGTCATTTTCTCCTAAGAATGGAAAGTCAGGAGTCTCCCAAATAGGTAGGTGTTGCAATTGCTTCCGTGCAATGTGGTCAGACCAATAGGAGTTTGCAAAGAACTTTTATGGACAGTATAAATATTTTGAGCTGGAGGCATCATTACCAGCTGATGTTTTCTTTCCTCAGGACCAGCTGTTCTAGAGCAGCCCGGAGCCGAGCCAGGCATATTTGAGACTTGGATTGAACTCAGGACTTTAGAGATTTTGGCGCAGCAATGTCGGTGTTAGAAGAAACCCGACCGTTTGCTCAGCAGTTATCCAATGTCTACTTTACGATCCTTTCACTTTTCTGTTTTAAACTTTTTGTGAAAATCAGCCTTGCCATCCTTAGTCATTTCTACATCGTGAAAGGCAACCGCAAGGAAGCAGCCCGGATAGCAGCTGAGTTCTATGGAGTAACCCAAGGGCAAGGTATGTTGACAGTAATGCTCTCCTGTTTCCAGTGGAGTTTGACTATCCTTTTATCCACAGTCCAAGAAAACATCGAATGTTTTCTTTATGGTCTGCTTCATGGTGAGGATTTTGTAAATTTCTCTGTCGAGAAAATCTTTGGTAACTCACAACTTCAGAGAAAACTGTTGTGTGAAAATAGGAGTTAACATTATTGCAAAAAACAAATAAATGAAAATGTACTACTAAGGATAATTTTCTATTACTCAATATTTTAAAACTTTAAGCCTTGCATTTGCCAAGCCAGGGTTTTAGAGGTTTTAATTACTGATGGCGCTTCTATTGCCTTTTCATAGGTACCTGGATTTTTATGATTTTTAAACAAATCTTTAACAATATATAGTCATTGTTATTAAAAAGAAATTTGAAAGTTTTGTTTTTCACATTTTTATTTTACCATGATTAACCACTTGCTTATAAGTAAAGTACAAGTTTTCAAACATAAATATTTATGGTATGTGTTTTCCTAATGGAATTGTTGCTTTGCTCAGTTTATAGATAATTGATTATAATAGAATAGAAATATGAATTAGCAAATTTTTATGTGTGTAGCCAAGTAGACACATAAAGAAATTGAACTATGAAACCAAATGAGAAAGACTAATTTAAACCAAAGACTTAAAGCTTGTGAATCTTTGCAATTTATTTGAAGTTAGTTTTACTGGACCAATAATTTGTGAAATAAAGTGATTCTTTTGGTAGACTTCAAGGTCACATTTACGTTTCTCATAATCTTTTCATTAATTTCTGTTTTGAAAATAAGCAGGCAAGCTTGCACATTTTAGAACCCCGGATAACTTTAAAGTAGCTTAAATTTTCAGAAGCAACATTTACAGAACCACATAATTAAGAGAATAGAAAACAGGGGTTTTTTTAAAAGAGCGCTTAGAGGAGAGAACCTGCGTTCTTCAAATCTTTTTCAATCCGTGGAAAAAGTCATTTTAAAATCTAGGTAATTCTGTGGGTACATGAAATGCTGAGTAACAATAGAAAGTCTTTTGTGGTGTGTGCGGTAGACAACTGTGCATTTCTTTTTTTTTTTAAGATTTATTTATTTTTGTACAAGAGCTGGGGTACAGGTCAGAGGCGCGGGAGGTTGATGAGAGGATTCACCAGAGACAAAGCAGGGAACAGAAACACAGGCAGATGGACCGAAACACACTGCTGAGGGGAGTAGCGGATGCAACAGGAAAGGTCTGCTGCACCATGTGGGTATCTCCCTGGCAGGCCGGGAATTGAACCTATGCTGCAGAGGTTGTGGACAGCTTCACAGCGCTGCGCTCAACCCGCTGTGCCACTGGGGAGGCCAACAGTGTGTATTTCTCAAGGAAATAGTTCTAACGTAAAGTAAGGCATTTATGTGCTCATTCAAAGTGAGGAAAATCTAAAAGCCTATATGAAATTTCCACAAGGGAGGTGACACCCTGAGGGACAGGTAATATTTATTCCTTTACCCTCCAGCTCTGCTGCAGAACACACAAAACAATTTAAATGTCACCTACACTCTGTGACCCAATTGAAAATAAAAAATTCAGGTAGTAAATGGGATATTTTGTTTACAAAACAGCAAACACACAAAACTAGTTGTACAACAAAGACTATGCTTCTAGATACTAGACTAAACAGGTACCGTGACAGTGAGGTGGTCAAATTCTCCTGGGTAGACAGCAGCTTAGTACTTCACAGTCAAATCTTGTCTGCCAGTTATGAGAATTGCCATCCATGAAAATGAGAAATGTTGTCTAAAAATAAGAAACTTTTTTTTCTTTTTGATGGATTGACAAGGATTTTTGAGGTAACCATGGAAACTCCTTTTTGCTCATATTTACAAATAAAAAGAACTGGTTGTCCCCCCTCTTTAAATCTGATCTCAGGGTTCTTATGATGGAAATTTGGAAAGTCACCATAACCCATAAAATGGCCTCCCTGCTCTCGCTGGCTTTTCTGAGTCCATGTTGGGTTATATCAGAACTCCAGGGTTATGTCCCTAAAAGGGAAAAAAGAAATCAACACTCACTCATAGAAAACACTTTCCTGGGACTGTAAAATGGGAACGTAAGATTTTTAAAATGTTTGTTTCGTGTTGTGTTTAATGCTAAATCTACTTAACAAAATCCCCCCTTCCAATATCTTGTATTCATGTATATATTAATGCCATATTAATGAATTAGTACTAGACTGTATTAATCTATATATTAAACAATAGGATATATTATTATTATAACTTTTATTCGATGTAAGTACATGAGGTCTCCAATTTTCTTCAATATTATATGAAGAACAAGTACTTTGTAAACTTTTGGTTGATCTCCTACATCTAAGAGTTAATTATTCCTTGAACAGGAAATTATTATTTTATCCATTTTAACATCGCTTGGTCTTTTATTTACTATAATGAAACAATTTTAATTTTGCTTTTGTATTTATAATTTACTCATAAGGCTTAATTATCTTTGTTTGATCTAGCAATTTCCTCCTTCCTAGAAAAGATTATCACCTTCATTCTACCTTGAATTAGGTTTCTCCTTCCTACTTTCAAGGCTAAGCCAGATTGCTCCCCAACATTTTTTGATGTGCAGTTGGTCAAATTCCATGAAATATGAGATGATATGTGTATTTTCATGTCTTTCATAATCACAGAAGACCCTGTTGACAAAATCTTGGATGTCCTCCCCATGAGCAATAATATTTCTGTGTGAAATAAAAGGAACTTGGCTTTCTAGCTAAATAATAGCTAAAATAGTTTCAGATTATTTCCTTCTTAATCCCTTTGCCATTCCAATAAACATTACAACTCTGCCTTTTGGATTTTTTTGGTAGTGAAGCCTTTTATCAATTCCATCTCCACATTGAGGGCACTTATTTGTTATGCTTTTCTATGAAACTTCCTCCTGTATCTTTTTTTTTTACTGTCAAATAAATGTCCTGATACCATCTCTGTATATCAGAGGTCTAGTCTATTTTTAAATCTAGCACTAAATTTTGAGATTGACAGTGAGACTAACAGGAGCTGAAAGGTGTTTTCAATTCTAATATCAAACAGGGCTGAGCACACGTGAGATTGTGGAAGGCCACAATGATTTCATGAAATCACACAGAGCCTGGAAAAAGCCATGAACTTCAAGAGGCAGCTTCTGTCTCTGCTAAACACAAGTTTTTCAAGTTCTGTCTTAAATTTTGAAGAAAGTTTAGTTGTTTGATGTATGAGTGGGCAGGGTCAATTCTAGCGAGACTGCTTGTTTTTGAACACCCTGCAGTATCAAGATATCAAAGAAACATAATTTTAAAAGTCAAAATACATTGTCTCCACCTGTAAGTAGTTTATATTCTAATTGAGAAGATAGTATAGCTATATGTAAAAATTATTTTCCAGGTAGGTTATATATCAGATGAGTCTTAAGAGTAGACAGTTCAATTTCAGCTCTGGACTTGAGAGATAGCTTTATGGAGAAGACAGATTGAGTTGACCCCAGAAGTAAATATAAGCATAGATTTAGGGATCCCCACAGATTATTAAGAGAATGTGGATGTAACTGGAATAGAATGTTAGTGCAGTAGAAAAGTTATAATAAATTGGGCATGTGTGGAAAAATTTGTGTAACAGTCTAAACAATTCGATCTTAAACGTTGAAGCCAGTGGTTGTTACTGAGTTTTTGGTATGAGTGAAGGTAGGAAATGACAAATAGTGTGTATGTAAATGAGAATAGATTTCTATAGCAGAGATCTCTGGCGTTGAGCAGTAGGACAGGCTTCAAGTTGGCAGGCCAGTCAGACCCTGTCATAAAGAATGGGGGACCTAGACCTGTTTAGTGGTTTTGGATAGAAAAGAAAGAATGACAACAAAAAATAAATACAGGGGAGAGAGAAAGAACCTGATACCTTTGAATGGCATCAGCAGAGGGAGCAGATAGTACCTTGGGGCACCTCAAGGTAACTGATTGCCGTCCACAGTTAGATCTTAATATATTTAAAGCAAAATATGTAGCTCTCATTCCCACCTATGGCCTGCAGGTGCCTCTCTTTATCATTCCCCTTTTCCTCATATACCTGTCCCTTAAAAACGTAAAATAAGAAAAGAATATCAGGCAGAAGAAAGAGAACCAAGCCACACAGGCAAGTCTGCCGTTCCTAGCTGGTGACACACCTGGGAGGGAGACCCTGGGCTACCGGGTGAGCCTGGCACCTGTCAACCTGTGGTGCAAAATAAAGGCAAATCAGGAAATAGAACTAGAGTCTAAATTCCAGAATTGGATTTGATTTATTTCACTATTCTCTTTGTTCCCCCTTTTCATCACCAAATCATCTTCTGATTACAATTTGGTTCCCTGTCTATATCTGTCCATAGACAAAATGTTTTGGATTGCCCTCATAAATGTTTGAATCCATAGGACATTTATGGCTTTCACTGCAAACTAATACATATATTTTTTTTTGCTTTAAAAAATAAAATTCGCATCAGTTTTTAGCATTCAAGTTTCAATGGTACAATATCAATGTCTTTATCTACAACAGCATCCTCACCACCAAAAGACTAGATTACAATTGACCTGATATCTTTTAAATAAATTGGACTAACGTTGCATTAGAACATTATATGAGTCTATGATCTCTTGATAATCAGTCTTTAGGATTTGTGCTCTTTGAGTTTTAAGTCCTCCTCTGAGATGTGTGTTTGTTCCAACTTGGCTGATCAGGTTTCTGAGCCTCCAAAGCCAGGCACCAAATTTTAGACTGGAAAAATCATCTAGGTAGTGTCTCTCTGTAAGGCTGCTTGAAAAATAATCTTGTGACGCTTAACCCCTTCAGGGATTGGAGACTTCATGTTTGAGACTTTATGCAGGACATAGAATGTATGTAGAACCCTCTGGTAGAATATTTGTGCTTGTGAATTCAAAATATTTGGTTTCAGGGTTAAGCAAGGTGCTCTTTTATTTTATTTTATTTTATTTTTTGACAAATC